GGGGGGGGGGTTGTGTGTGTGTGTGTGTGTGTGTGTGTGTGTGTGTGTGTGTGTAGAGGCTGTACCCACCCTCTAAGGAGGAGCAGCCGTGATGGGGTACAAGGGTTAAAGTGGGTGGCCGGCTTAAGCAATGCACTGGGTGTTTTCCCCAGTTGGGAAATGTCCGGCTGCCCTGGTATAAGAGGCCAGGCACCAGGGCTGGCCTGGCAGTGCAGCAGCATGGGTGGCCTCTCTGCAGCGCTCTGCCTCAGCTGGGCCCTGGCGCTGGTGGGCGCCCACCCCTTGTGAGTGGCTGTGGATCAGGAGGGCATGGGGGGGGGAGGGGAGAAGCCCCGTGCTCGGGTGAGGTCGGAGGCTGGGCCCTCTGCCTTGCTGCTCAGGGGGCCGTCCGCTTTCTCTGAAAGGCGGGACTTGTAGTGGGGGCCTTGGGCCAGGGCCTGATGGGGCCCCTTTTGGCTCTTGGGTTGGCCCTAACGGGAGGGGGATGTCTCTGGCAGGGGACACGGCGGCCATGGCAACAAGACGGTCGGCCCCTGGCATCACCTGGGCTCGGAGCCTCCAGCCAACAGCACTGGTGGGTAGGCTGCCCTCTGGGCAGAAGCAGGTCCCACCTGGGAAAGCCTGCTCGCCCCACATCTCCCCCTCCTTCCCTGGGGGGGCCCACTGCACCCCACCCTGAAGTCTGGGCCCACTACAGCTAGGGGAGCACTAAGGGAGGGCCAGAGGGACTGGGGCTGGGAGGGGGCAGCTTCAGTCCTCCGCCAGGGGAGCCTCCCGGATCTGCAGCCGAGGCCCCTGCTGTGGAAATGAGCTACCTCTGCAGGACAGGCTGGGAGGGGGTCCTGCTGAGGGGACCATCGCTGCAGGGTGGGGGTGTCGCTGACTGCCCCCTGCACGCTTCCGCCCAGAGTTAATGCAGCGCTGTGCAGACGAGGAGGGCTTTGACGCCGTCACGCTAGACGAGGCAGGCACCATGGTCTTCTTCAAAGGCTCTTTGGTCTGGAAGGGCTTCACAGGCGCTGCGGAGCCCATCAAGGACTCCTGGCCTGAGATCCAAGGCCCTGTCGATGCAGCCCTGCGGATCCACTACCACGACCACCCAGAGGGCCTTCACGACAACGTTTTGCTCTTCCAGGTACTGCTGACTCGCAGGCGAGGGAGGGAAGGCTGTGGCAGGGAGGGGCTGGCTGGCTCGGGCAGAGGGGCGTCCAGGGGCAGTGGGGGAGGCTGTGTGAAATGGCGGCCTTGCATCCCCTCGCAGGGCAAGAGGGTCTGGGCGTACCACGAAGGGAGGCTGAGACTCGGCTACCCCAAGCTGATCCAGGAGGAGTTCCCGGGCATCCCAGCCGACCTGGACGCAGCTGTGGAATGCCATCCGAAGGAATGCCCGTCTGAGACAATCGTGTTCTTCCAGGGTGAGAAAGGCTCCCTCACTTGAGGGTCCCAGGACAGGTCTCTGTGCCCTGCCCGGTCTCTGGAGGGAGCCATTTGCTCCTTCGCTCTGGCGGCTGCTACAGCCCCCTCCTCCTGCACTGACCCACCCACCGTTTCCCTGCAGGGTCCAGGGCGTTCACCTATGACCTGCGGACGAAGGCGATGAAGCAGCGTGCCTGGCCAGCCATCTCCAACTGCACCGCGGCCGTGCGCTGGCTGGAGCGCTACTATTGCTTCCAAGGCATCCGCTTCCTGCGATTCAATCCGCTGCGGGGCGATGTGCCACCCCGCTACCCGCTGGATGCCCGGGACTACTTCATGCACTGCCCTGGCAGAGGTAGGTCCCCTCCAGGCTGCTGGGAAGTACGCAGCTGAGCCCGGGGCAGGCGCCTGGCCTGCAAGAGAGGGAAGCGGGAGGACTTTGGCCCCCGGTGCCGGGCAAGGCGTAGTCCTGGGGCTCAGCTCTGGTCCCTGAAGGAGGCGGGGGGAGGGTGTTGCTCTTCCTGGCTAGGAGCCAAGCGGTGGCCTCTGCCTCACTGCCTGGCCCTGCACCCCGACAGGCCACGGGAGGGAGTCCCAGAAGAACGCCACGCTCTGGGGCATCCTTGATGCCTGCAGTGGGCGCCCTTTTCCGGCCTTCTCCTCAGACGACCCTGGGCGAATCTACGCCTTTCGCGGTAAGCAAGCAGGCCGGGGGGAGGGGGTGGCAGGCAGGGGAAATGTTGTGTGCTGCCAAGGGCAGCTCAGTGGACCCTCCCAGTCGAAGGCTGCCTCACGTGATGAGGCCCGGCCCCGAGTCAGATCTAAGCTAAGTGGGCTGGGAGTCAAGGGCACTCCCCTGGTCCAGCAGCCGTGCGGCCCGGCCAGAGCATGAGGCAGCCTGTCTCCGCTTCCAGGGGAGGGTTGGGCTGGGGTTCCTCGTCCTAGGTCGCCTCAGGGCAGGACTGGTGGGGCCTCCAACTGCTGCCGACCTTCCTCCTGCACCCAGGCGGCCACTACTTCCGGGTGGACTCCGTGCGAGACGGGCTGCATGCTTGGCTCTTGAACCACACCTGGTCAGGGCTGGAGGGGGAGGTGGACGCCGCCTTCAACTGGGCAGACAAACTCTACTTCATCCAGGTGAGCTGCCCAGGGAGGCTGGGCTTCGGCAGACTTCAAAAGACCTGGAGCTCTGCCCCATTGCAGGCTGCCCCCTTAGGGGTGGGCAAGCCAGTGAGCCACCGCCACTGCTCCTGACCTCGGCTGGCCCTGGGAACAGCCCCTCCCTCACAATTCAGGCTGGCCCTGGAGGGACTCTTCTTGCAAGGGAACTGCCCGAGGCGCCCCCCCCCCACACCTCTGCAGACGAGATGGCCTCCTATGAGATTGTCCTGCGAGGGCCCCCCCTGCTGGCTCAGATGTGCTTGGCAGCCGCAAAGAGAGAGGCGCCAGGCTGGTGCTTTGGCTGCCGTCTTCCCCCCTCCCATTGCCCCCCCCCCCCGAAGCTCCCTTTAGGTGCACCTGGGCCCTTGACTGCGCGTCTTCCCCCCTAGCTGGGCCAGGCTGGAGGGCAGGGCAGCCCGGGAGCCAGAAGGGTGCCCGGCAGAGCTGCGGATCCTTTAGAGACCCCCAGAACAGAACCAAAACATGGGGCAGCAACCAGAACGTCCTGGGGGCGCCAGCCTCGCTGGTCATTTGGGGTGGAAGAAGCGCCTGAGGCTCAGTGGCTGACCTTCCTCTTCCCACTCCCTGCAGGGCTCTCAGGTTACCATCTACAGGTCTGAGCACGGCTACAGCCGGGTGGAGGGCTATCCGCGGCCCCTGGTAGAGGAGCTGGGCGTGTCCCAAGCAGACGCTGCCTTCACTTGCCCCCACTCCTCGGTGCTGCACGTCATCCAAGGTGCGAAACCAAAGAGGGTGGGGTGGTCCCTTGTCTTGGTAAGGGGGCTCAGAGGGCAACCCCTCCCAAGGACCCCCCTTCTTGGTCTCACTGGCCCTGCTGGCCCCACTTGGAGATCTGTGTTGCAAGCGGCTTAGACCTCTGATGGGCTGGAAGGGGAACACAAAGCACAAACACAACCTTAACTCTAGTCCTAACCCAAAAGGCAGGTGAAGAGCTCAGCTGCCCTTCTAGGGAGCCCCCCCGCCCCCCCCGGCCAGGGATTGTCCTGAAGCCATGCCCTTCCCCCGGGAAACACTTGGCGGCAAAGAACAAGTGCAACCCTAGAACCCCTTCTTGGGGCTGAGCCAGATCCATGTTTTAGATGCGGAGGGTGTGTGTGCCATGAAGGTGTGCAGAAAGGAAGCAGATGAGTGAAGGGGGGCTTTGGAGACATGGAAGGGGGGGGCATGAAAGTCAAGGGAAGACAAGAGGCCCGTTTCTGCTTGTGGCGAGCCCCACCCAGCCTGGCAACCCAGATCAAGGCCCTTCTGACCACCTACCCCTCCTTCCCTCCCAGGAAGTCAACTCCAGTCGATTGATCTGCATCAGAGTCCTCGTCGCCCGGGGCCACCACAGCTCCTCCCCCATCCCCACGTGGACAGCGCCATCTGCACCACCAAGGGGGTCTTCCTCTTCGTGGGGGCTGACTTCCACCAGTACCAGGACGTGGCCCAGCTCAGCGCCGCTACCGTCTCGGCACCAGCCCAGAACACTGCGGCCGTCTTTTTCCGCTGCTCTCCCTCCGGGGCTCCCCACCCTCCTCCCCGGGGAGGGCACCACCCCCGAGACCACCCTCAATAAACCTCTTATCTCAGCCATGGGGCGTTGCTTTGTGTGCGTGTGAGTGACTGAGGCGGCCCTTGGGCAGGGAGCACTGCAGACCCGCAAGGGGGGTGGGCTTGACCAAGGCGGCGCTGAAGCCCCCCCCATGCAGCGGTCATTGGCTCAGAGGGGAGGGAAGGGGAGGGGTGTGCAGGAAGGGCAAAATGAGTCGGGTTTGATAGAAGAGGCGTTTATTGCGGGCCGCTTAACTTGGCCATAGCCAGCAGGAGCCTGTTGGCTTCGTGGACTTAGCCGAAAATGCAGACAGTGCCCGAGGCCAGACGGTGGTGGTATTCGTGCAGGAGGCTGGTGGCCAGCGGGAAGCTGCTCTTCATTTCCAGCTTCCCCGGCACCACCAGCAGGGTGACTCCGGGCCCCAGTCCTTCAGCCAGCTTCTGCAGCATGCGGCGGGCCAGGTAGCCGCGGGCGCGGGCCGGCTCGGCCTCCAGGCTGGCGTAGACCTCGGGCGGCGGGTTGGGCAGCTTCCACTCCAGCTCGCCGATCAGCTGGTTGGTGCGAGCCCTGTCCAGGGCCAAAGGGCTCTCCTGGTAGCAGGCCACCAGGTGGAGCCCCGCGGCAGTGCGAGCCGACACGAAACTGCCCTGGGCCAGCACCTCCCCGCTGCCCGCCTCACCCTCCACCTCGCCCTCTTCCCACCAGGCCATGACGGCCCAGCAGAGCCAGTCGTAGTTCTGCTCCAGCTGGCGCAGGAGCGAGGTGGCTAGCTCGGCCGGGTCGGGGGGCACCGCCTGCTCCAGGGCGCGCTCCACATCCTCCTGGGCTTGCTGGTGGAAGTAGCCCTTGCACTGGCCCAGCGCCTCCTTCATGCGCTTGTGCAGCGCAGCCACGCGTGGGTCCCACACGCCCATCAGCAGCGCCGAGTCGCGCTTGGCCAGCCCCGCCTGGCAGAGCAGGCACAACAGCCCAGCACCCAGCACGGCATTCAGCTTCTGGCAGAAGAGCGCCATCTGCGGGCGGCGTGGGCGGTGGCGCTGCACGGCCTGCTCCAGCAGGGGGCGCTGCAGGCTAAGCACTGCGTTGCCCTGCAGGCGACGCCACAGGACCAGCAGGCGGCGCTCCAGCTTGTCCCGCACGCAGCCCTGCGCGAAAAGCTCGGTCTCCAGCGGTGCGGCAGGGGGAGCCGCCCGCACCGCCATGCACAGTTGTCCGAAGGCAGCGGCCACGCAGTCCTCGCAGGCATCCAGCCCGCCGTCCTCCAGCAGCCCCGGGCCCGCTGCCAGCTCACGCTCCAGCAGCTCCACTTCCTTGCGCACAAAAGCCAGCTCCTCGGCGGTGGCCGAGCCCTGCAGGTGGGACACGACCCCCAGAGCCAGCGAGCGCAGAGACTGCAGGAAGCCCAGCGGCTCCAGGCACTGGGAGAAGAGCGCCATGCCACGTCCTGCAAGGAGAGACAGGAGGGGCTCAGGGGGCTTGCCCACCACGAGACGAGGGAACGGACCCCGAGACCCCCAGCGTCTGCCCGAGCCCCGCCGTCTGCTGACCCTCCAGCCGGGCAATCAGCACTGCGGGTCTCGCTCCTTGCTCCAGAGCTGAGCTCCCTGACTGAACGCCACTTCCGGCTGGCCTCAGACTGGCCCCGTGGGCGTGGCCTGTCCACTGGAAGCCCAATTTTCCTGGCTTTTTGGGTGGACGTGGAAGGCCTGGGCCAAGGGGCTTGGGAGGAGTCCGTGGTGGCAGAGTGACCCCAGACCGTCCCCTGGTCAGAAAGGCACAGACCAGGCTGTCGCTGAGGCTCGGAGGAGAAGTTCTGGGAGGCTGCGAAAGACCCCCGTTAAGAACACAGTGGCCAGTTCTTGGAAGTTTGGCCCCTGGGTCCCATGGGGGATAAGGTGGGGTGGGGGGGGGGTGGAAAAGAGGCCCCTCCCTCCTTGCCTCCCTGGTGGCGACACATCTCCCAATAATGTTCCATTTCCTGCATTCCTCCTGAAGGGAAGCAGCCAGCAGCCTCCCCAGGCCTCCATGGAGACAGGTGGCTAGTTATGACTTCTTAATTGATGAGCCCCCCCACCCCTCCAAGGGCACAAGCCACAGGCCAGCCTAGCTGAGCTGAGCTCATTCTCGGGGTGGCCCAGTCTGGTGAGCCCCACAGCAGCTCTGCCTTCTCCAGGGCCAGAGCAGAGGGCAGAAGGGCCCAGCTGCCCAGGAGGCTGGGCAGGAGGACTCCTCCTCCTCCTCCTCCTCCTCCAGGCTCTCTGCCCTTGTGCTGCCCTCCAGGGGAGGCGGGCAGGCAGCTGCAAGAGGAGGAGGAGGAGGAGGAGGAGGAGGAGGAGGAGGAGGAGGAGGAGGAGGAGGAGGAGGAGGAGGAGGAGGAGGAGTGGGCCGCCCTCCCGGTCTGTGCTGTGAGATCGCCAAGGGCATCGAGGGCCTGGCTCACCTCCTGAATCCTTGGCCAGAGGGGCAGGGCAGCCTATGCCCAGGGAAGGGAGTGGGGTTTTCTCCTTGGTCAGCGTGCACCTTCCCTGCCCAGGCATGCAGTCCCACAGGTACCTAGTCTGGCCAGGTGGGCCAGCCCCTTTGGGTGGGGTGGGGGCAAGGAACAGCTTTCTCATAACCCTAGCCCCCTCCTCCAGGACAAGGGCAGTCCAAGAAGCCAAGGGCTGACCCCCTGGGGCAGGGAGCCTCCCCTTTCCGACCTTCCCTGTCTCAGGCCCTTCCCTGGGATTCAGAGGTGCCAGCGCTCCTGCCTCAGCTGGGGGCTGGGCTGGGGAGAGGTCTGGCTGAGCCTTACCTGTTGGCCTGGCTCTTGCAAGCTTCCACCTGGACTGGGTACCTGCTGGAACCTGTTGCATCCCTGATAAATCCCCAACTTATCTTGGCCCCGCCTGCCTGAGCCACATGCTCAGAGGTTTTGCCTTGGGCCTCGTCCAACTGGACCCACTCCAGATTCTCTGTGGGGGCGGGTGGATAGGTGTCCTTCCCTGCGGAGGTGACTTTCATGCCTTCTCTTAGGGGTGGCTTTGCTTGAACCCCTAACAACCAGGCAGCCTCTGTTCAATGGGCCTCTGTCCCCTCTCTTCCTGGGTGGAGGGTGTCCTATTTATTTGGCTCTGTCTTGTCCCTTTTTAAGCCCCCCACTACCACCACTGAGAAAGGGAGGGGGCTGCATGCCTGTTTTCAAAGCTCTGAAGGCTCCAGAGTTTGCCCTGCTTGGTGCCAAACGGCTCTGGTCTATCTGGCCCCGTTGAAAGGAGATGCCTGTCCTGCCTTGCGGTCTTGACCTGGCCTGAGCAGAGCCCCAGAGGCAGCCCCCTCTCTTCCTCAGTGGTGGTGGGGGCTTAAAAGGGACTCCCATGCCCCCCTCCTTGGAACCTTCAGGGCAGCCCCTGCTTTTCTTTCACTGGACCAGGAGATGCCCAGCCAGAAGGGTGAGGGTTAAGTATGTGGGGGGGGGGCTGTTTATTGGACATGGACTCCAAGGATGCTGGAGGAGATTGGCAGCTGTGCAAGACCCGAGCTCCTTTGCTGGTACTGGGGAAAGAGGGTACAGGTGCAGCTTTAACCTGGGGGGGGGGCAACCTTATCTCCCTCCTAGTGCTCTCTTGCACATGGCATCCTACTTGCACAATCTTGGGGAGAGGAGCAGAAAATGGATGTTGCAAAGTGGCAGAAGGTGGGGGCTGTTGCACTGCTTCTCTTGCTGGTGCCCTGTCCCTGCCCGGCTGTTGTGCCGCTTCCTCGCTGCACTTGGCACCCAGGGCGCTTTGATGCTCGCCCACTTAGTCCCTCAGAGCTTCAGAGCATCAGGGTAGTCGTGGCTTGAGTGGCACCCAGGGCCAACCAGCCGATTGCCCAGCCTGGCATGCAGACCTCCAAGATGCGCAATGCCCAAGCCCTCCTGCCTGGGCCACAGCCTGGCATCTGAGGCAGAACCCCCCCTACCCTGCTGCTTCGCTTCTGCTTTCCCTCACAGGACTAAACGAAGGACCAACTCAGGGCTTTCTATGGGTGTTTAATTCAAACATGGTTTTATTCTAAGTATATCCAACATTACCAGTGCTAATAATTTTATTGTTTTATAATTTGCAATATTTCCTCAGCAACTGAACTCCTGCCTTTCTCTGTTGCCCACATTTCTTCTCTCCTGCCAAATGCCCATTTTAAGCCCAAGGTGGGCATTTTCAGACATTTCGTTGTGTGCTCCATCCTAGCTGCTGTAGGCAGCCCCCCTCCCCTTCACCAGGAGTGCTCCTTGATTGGCATGTGGCCCAAGTGGAGCCTCCTGTCCTTGTGCAGGAGGCCTCTGGGGACCCTGGGTGGGCTTGCTGCCCATTGTGTGCAGCGGCAGCTAGAGTGGCGCAAACCAGGGACCCTCATTGCCTGCAGAAAGGAGGACCACTCCTCTGGCCCTTGCCCCAGGGCCACCAGGAACATAACTTGCTTTCTCAATCCTGGGGTGGGGGGGCGGGGCAGGGGGGGTGGGGGTGGCGACCTGAAGCCTTGAATGCATCTAATGCATCGGGGTGGACATTAGAGGAAAAAGAAATGGCTTTGCTATAGGTGTATGGAGCACAAGCCACCCATCCAGGCACACAAAATGGATGGACCTTTTGCTATATAGAGTTAAGTCAGGTGCTGCAGGAAACCTGCCACTGCAGCAGTGGGGGGCTTTGCCCGGACATCAGCAGCGAGTGGGAGATCACAGCGTCTCCTGGCATGCCTGGCTGGCAGCTCTTGTTACCCAAAAGGTAGAGAACGGTGCCAGAGAGGGTCAGCTACCCTAAATTCTTACTAACAGGGATGAAATGACGGAAGGGGTGGGAGTTACAAGACTTCCTTGGGGCAGAGTGACCCTGTCATCATACTAGAATCACCATAAACTGGCAAAGGTCACTGAACCATGTCAGGCTTCAGTCGTTAAGAGAGCTGACTTCAACAAACTAAGAGGGGGGGGGGAGAAGAAGGATTCAATCGAGGGAGAAACAACTCAAGATGCTTGAGAAACTCTGAAAAATGAGAAAGGAAGGTCCAAGAAGAAACAGGGAAAGAAAAACAAAAGACACCAGACAAGACCAGAATGGTTGCTTAAAGAGCAACCATTGACAAAATGAGGGATAAAAAGGACTAGTGTAAAAAATGGAATGAGGTGAGAACAAAATATCAGCAAATAGTCTGAATCTGCAAGGAGGGTTTCAGGAAAGGTAAGACACAGAATGAACTAAAACTTGCAACAAATGTCCAAAATAACAGTTTCTTTCAATATGTAAAGAATAAAAAGAAAATAAAGGAAATGGTTGGTCTGCTAATGGAAGCAGATGGCAAGATGGTGGCTGGCAGCAGGGAGACAGCAGAAGTGTTTTAATTCCTTCTTTGCACCTGTTTTTACACAAAAGGAAAAAAATAGCCCAACCTACCAAAAACAGTATTGTTGGAGACAAAACCGGAAAGCAGGTCAAAATAGGTAAAACATTAGTACGAAAACACCTTTGCACTTTAGATGAGTTCCAATCACTAAGACCAGATAGTTTACATCCCAGGATTATAATTGGGGTTTGTTAGCACTGGAAGATAGACTCAAGATTCACAAGGCTCTTGATGGACTCGAGCATTGGGCCCTAACCAGCAAGAGGCAGCTCAGTTGTGGGGAAAGCAACTGGTTCTGCCACTTGGGCAAAAAGCAAGCAAAGCACAGCAAACCTCAGGCCCAGAACATGCAGGAGGGCCTGGCTCAACAGCAGTAACCGCGAGAGAGGTCAAGGAGTCCTATCACACCGCCACTTAAGTACGAGCCAGCCGTGTGCTGCAGCAGCCACAAAGCCAACCCAGTCCTGGGCTGCATCAACCGGGGGTGGGGGGGTGGGGGTGGGGTGGGGGGTCAGCATCAAATTCATGTGAAGTAACAGTGCTGCTTTGTTCCTGTACTGGTGAGGTCACACTTGGAATTCTGGTCACGACGATAGAAAAAAGATCCTAGAAAGTGTGCAGAGAAGAGCAACCAAGACGATGAAGGGTTTGGAGGCTAAAACATACGATGAACGACTGAAGGTACTGGGTGTGTCTAGCGGCCAGCCTAACAGAAGGATTTCCATGGTCTCAGAACTCTTCTGCAGAGGTTAGTCTCTGCCTCCAGAGAAAAAGAAAAGACTGGGCCAGCAAGGAAGAGTTTAGCATGTGGCTAATTAAAACGTTCCGAATTTAATGTTGGAGGCCAGCTATGTACTACTACAGCTTCATTTGCTGCAGGACAATAGGCGATATATTTTGGTGCCAAATAAATTCTAAAAACTAATATTTGAGGCATTTCTATTCATTATGAAATACATATTTGGACACAGTTTATATATTTACGCCAAATACCTTTTGCATTATAGGAGTTTATTAGATACAATATATTTTGCATATCCCTTGCTATATCCATTATCCATTATATCCATTATTTAAAACAATCTTTTTATCCTGCAGTTTTACTTACTTTATTTATATCAAATGCTATTCTTATAGAGTGACATGATAACAGGATTCCAATATTTGAGGGGCTGTCACAGAGATTCAACCTAGCAATAAGGAGAAATGTTCTGACCTTGAAAACAATAAACCAGTGGAACAGCTTGCCACCAGAAGTTGGTGCTCCATCCCTGGAGGCTTTCAAGAAGAGACTGGACAGCCCCCTATCACAAATGGCACAGGGTCTCCTGCTTGGGCGGCGGGGTGTTGGTGTTGGTGTTGGACTAGATGGCCTACAGGGTCCCTTCCAACTCTGTCATTCTGAACGCTCGCTCCCCTTCGCTGCTCCCGTGACCAGCACCTCCTTCCCTCGCGCTCCCCCAGAGCTGCTTTCCCGAGTTTGGCATCCAGGGCGCACCCCGCCAAAGCAGCGCCCAGCCGCCCGGGGCTCTGCAGGGCTGAAGGGCAGCCCTGCCTGCCTCGCCGAGAACCGGAGGCGCCCCGCGGCGACTGGCAGCTTGGGCTTTGCTTATGCAGGCAAATAAAGCGGCGGCCCTTCAACGCCTCGGCCTCCGGGCCACAGCAGGCGCGCACTCCGGCCAGAGACCGGCTTCGGCCGGCCTCAGCGCCCGGCCCGGGTTGGACACTCGCCTTCGCCCGCCCGCCCGGCCGGCTACTGCTGCTCCGCAGCCCCCGCCCTGGCCGGCTTCTTGCTCGGCACCCGGCCCCCCGCCCTCCCGCCGCCCCCGGGACGGACGCCAGGCGGCGACGGCGGATCCCGCGGAAGGTGCTGAGGACAGCGACGCCTCCCCGCCCGGGGCCGCGTCCGGCGCTCCGGTTGCCGCTACCGCTCCGGTTGCCGCTACCGCTCCGCCGCCGGGCCAGCCACCCCTCGCCCGTCCCGGGAGGGGCTGCTCGGTCTCGGAAGCGGAAACGACGCCTCCCCCGCCGCCCCTCCCGCCGCCATCTCCATCCTCCCGAAAGCGTCGCTGCAGCTGCAGGTACCCAGCGCGGGCGGGCCGGGAGGCGGGAGCCGCGGAGCCTTCGGAGCCGAGGCCGAGCCGGACCCGCCGGGACTGAGGCTCGAGCGCCGGCAACGTCCTCCCCGCCGGACCAGGCGAGCCGCGGCCGAAGTCTCCTCGGAACCGCCCGGCCCCCCGGCCCTCCGCCGCGGAGGGGGCCTGGCCGAGAGGACGCGATGCTCGCGGCCGGCTTGGGCTAGGAAGGCGGCTGCGCTCTTGGCGACGCTGTCCCGGGGCGGGCGGAGGGCTGGGGGCTTCGGGTGCCCCTTCAAGGCCGGCACGTGGGGTGAGGATGGGAGGCCTGGGGGGACCGGCTAGGTGGGACCGGCAAGCGCCCCAGGCCTGACCAGGTGGGCCCCGGGCCCGATGGCACATGGAGACAAGGTTGCAAGGGAGCTGGAGGAAGCCAAGGCAGCCCAAATAATCCCAGGGGAATCAGCTCCATCCAAGTGGCCACGGGACAATTGAACAATATAATTATTTAAAATAAATTTAAACAGATATTTTATTTTTTGCCATTCACATTTCATTTTCCCACCCTTGATATCATTTCTTTCAGGATTCTATTCCACCATTTCTTTGACATTCCTTTAAGTCTCGTCCCACAGCAAGTCAGCCGTGGCAAATTGTCCTAGGCCCCCATGGGGCAGAGACTGCCAAGGGGGGTCTGTCTCAAAGGCTCCATGTTGCCTCTGGGTCGGAAAGGAAGCCAGGCTGAGGGGGTCCCTGGCAGCATCTCCTGGCCCCCAAAAGGTTCGGCTTGGCCCCTGGGCGCAGGCCAGGTCTGGGATGATGGGCCAGCAGGCTGTTGGTAGGATGCCGCCACATCCACTGACCTGACCTGCTCGCCAGGGGAAGCAGATCGGCCCAGGGACGCCTCCCAGTCCCAGCTGAAGGGGAGAAGGGCAAGAGAACCAGAGCAGCCTTCTGGTTCTGCTGGAAAGCCACCCCCCCCCAGCCTCCTGTGGGCCACGGCAAGAGGCAAACCGGGTCTCATCCTCACCCAGCGGGGGAGGGGGGCGTCCTTAAGGGGTGGGGATGTGGAAGGCCTGGAGTCAGATGGGGTCCATCTAGGGAGGACCACCCACTGATGGCCGAAGCTCCCAAACAGCTTCTCTCCCAATGCCAGGGGAGGGGAACAAACAAGCCCCCAGCCCTATCTGACTGCCCAGAGGAGACTCTGGAGACCAGACCAGCCGAGCCCCTCCAGCCAGTCCCCTGCCCTGGGGCTGCCAGGGTGGACTGACCTCCTGCCTCTCCCTGTTGCCCCCAGAAGCTGAATGTTGCCTGGCCTTCTTTGGACTGCGCCCCCCGGGTTCCCTGAGGGATGTAGCTGTGGATCTCTCCCTCCGGCCCAGGATCGGTAAGCACCCAGGGAAGCCTTGCAGGAGTCAGGTCTTGACTGGGGGGCAGGGATGGTGGGGGGCTGTGAAGAGCAGTCCAGTTCAGCAGGCCAGGCTTACCAATCGAGGCCAAGCCTAACCAGGGCCCTGCAGGCCTCGGGGCACTGCTTCCCCCCAAGGAGGGTGCTGAGTGCAGAGGAGACGGGCAGGGGGGTCGGGGCGCACTGGGGTTCTTCCCTCAGAGTTGTGACCGGCCGCTTCCTCTCCCTGCCACCAGTCTTCCCCAGTGCCCAGCACCATGTCCAGCTCGCTGAGGAAGCGGAACAGCCTGGCTAACGACAACGGCTGCCTGGGCCTGAGCCTGGCCTTGGGGGCCCCGCCAGGGGGGCCGGTCCTGCCGCACAAGGGGCGGTGCGCCTACAGCTGCGGGGAGCTGCAGAGCATCTTGGGGCTGCCCCCCTCCACGGAGGAGCCCTCCAACAGCAAGTGGATGAAGGAGGGACAGAACCAGCTGCGACAGGCGGCCGAGCGTGGCCGGGACCAGAACCGCAACGAACTGAGCCTTCCCAGCAAGGAGTTGAGCAGGCTGCTGGTCCCGCTGACAGGGCAGGAGGGCCGAGCAGAGGACCCAGAGGCCGAGGAGGAGGAGGAGGAGGAGGAAGAAGACGAAGAGGAGGAGGAGGAGGAAGAGGAGGAGGAGGAGGAGGAGGAAGGCTCCACCCCGGTCCAGAGTGAGCCTGTGACTGAGTCGGAGCAGAGCTCGGAGCGGGCATTGCCTCGGGGGGAGCAAGGCCGCAGCGCCAGCCTCCTCTTTGCCACCCGCAACAGCACTGCCAGCGACGAAGATTCCAGCTGGGCCACGCTCAGCCAGGGCAGTCCGACCGGCAGCTCCCCGGACGAGGCTGGTAGGTCACTGGGGGTGGGAGGGATGGCTTGCTGGAGGGGCACCCAAAGGCTGAGGGACACGCTGAGGCTGCCACAACCCTCTGCCAAGCAGAACCAGGTGCCTTGGACAAGTCACACGGGAAGAGGGGACACAATTGGGAGGATCACCCCTGGGCCCCTCTTCCCTGCATGTTGAAACGGATCTTTGGGAAGTCCCGGGTTGGGGGGGGGCTGTGCTAGGCAGCTTGGGGCCGCTTTCTGATATGCCCCCCCCCCCCGGTCAATTGGCAGTATTGCTCCTGCGCTCTCTTAGCCAGGCTCCGAAGGCCCCTGGGGGAGCCGTGATGTCAGCAGGTGCCTGGCACAGCCCCCGCCCCCAGGGACTGCCCAGCGCCCAGCAACCAGCCCTGGGATGCTCCACTCTGGTCCTGCCCCCTGCAGCTGTGGCTGTCTGCAGCAGCCTCTCGGCCCCTGTGGGGGAGCCCCGTTGCTGCTGCTGCTCGCCTGGCAAGATGCAGGTCGCCTTGGAAGACGAAGGGGGGCTTTCAGGGTGGACGGGGAGCGGGCTGAGCAACGCTGCGGACTGGCAAGAAGCTGGTGGGCCCTGGGGCTGCCGGGGGGGGGGGGGGGCGGGGAGGGACAGCTATTTAAGTTATCCTGGGCTTTGGTCTGCGAAACATTTATGTCAGCCTGCAAGAACAGCTCCTGTCCGTTGGCAAGGATTGTCAGCTGTGCTGCAGCTGGCCTTATTCTGGGGAGGGGGGGG